ACAGTTTAACTTCTTCCTTTCCTATCTTTATTCCTTTTATTTCTTTCTCTTTTCTAATTGCTGTGGCTAATGTTTCCAGAACCATATTGAACAGGAGTGGTGATAGTGGGTATCCTTGCCTTGTTCCTGATTTTAGCATGAAAGTTTTCAGTTTTTGACCATTTAGTATGATGTTGGCTGTTGGTTTTTCATAGATATCGGCTTAGTTATTCTGAAAAGCACATGTTGGGAGAGTCCTGTAACACTATCATTTAATAACCATGGTTGATTCATTAATTAGGCAACTGTTGACTGTCCACTGGACTTTTCTAAATTGGATTTTCTGAAGTACCCATTGAAGTCCAGTACAGCTTTTCCTTACTTCACATTTCTAGTCAATGCTTCTAATCTTACCAGAATGTGCAGTGAAGTGAGTGTATGAAAAGCATAATTAATGAGAAAAATGCTGTGGAAAGGAAAATTACATGGTACATTACAAGGCTAAGTGCAAACCACTAAATTTAGTGACTTTTCTAAGTAGCAGCATTCTTCTTTATCGTGAATGGTGAAGAAAGAGCAAACTAATAAAACAGTAGGCCCACATTTTCTTAAATGTTCTGATTGTTTCTATAGTGAATGAAGTGTTCTTCACTAAGGATTTTCATCATGAGAAATGTTTTTATGTGACATATATTGCCTAGAGTTAGCCTGATAGTTGAGTGCTCGGCAGATTAGATACCTTCATCATCATTGGTTTTCATACTGACAGGTTCCAACTAGAGCTGAAATTAGACCCAACAACTACCTTGAACTCATCTTGCCTGTGGGGTGGCCTATGGGAAGAGATTTGGAGTAGAAAAGATGTTGCATGAATTTGTACATACTTGTAGAATACAGAAGAAGGCTTTTTAAAATGTTTCTCACAGGGCCGGGGATTTAGCTCAGTGGTTCTGCCGCCTGCCTCACAAGCGCAAGGTCCCGAGTTCGATTCCCAGTACCAAAAAAAATGTTTCTCACATAAAAATATGATAATAACTACCCTTTATGTGGCTAGTTTGCAAGCAGGCACAATTAGATCTTCCACTGCAGAAATTACAGTGTCTAAGGCCAACATTTTAACTTGGCCATTATCTTAAGATTGCCCTGTTTCTTCCTTTCCTCTTTTCTGTACTGCACAGTTTGTATTGATGCTGTCCTATAGAGGGTACTTTGCCACCTACTTCATCTCTGACCATGATGCTATATTTTTCACAGAGAAGAGACAGGTGCTGTGTTAATCTCACCATACCAACAATCAGGGCACCACCTAGCAGAGTCAGTGAAGGCCAGAATAAGCAGTGGAAGATAACCATTGGATCATATTTTTTTATAAGAATGACATCTTCAGATTGGCTGTCTGGACTGTAGAAGCATGAGAAAGACATTCCATTTTTGTGATCGAAGAATTCCTTTATATCCAGAACACTGTTGAGTAAATCATTCCTATCTTGGTGGCACTTAGGTGTATAAAAGCACTAGGAATATGAAGGAGGAAAAGATGAGGATATTGTCACCAATATCAAGCATTTAACAGTTTTAATTCTAAAATAGCTTCAGCCTCAAGCTAGTAGAGAGAAATTTCAGTCTTGACCAAATATTATATAGCTTATGAGGAAGGTTGGCAGGAGGGCATAGAGTGAAATGGCCACTTCCTGGTCCTAAGCTAAAAGTATGAGGTTTATTACCATATCAGTTAAGCACTTTGGGTACAGTGTTAAAGGACTGTGGAAATGTCGGAGACTTCAAACATCATTGCATCCAAAACTAAACAAATCATACTGAAATTAGACACCAAAGTGCAGTGTCATCTAATCTAATACAATTTTTATAGTTTAAATCTTACTGACCAATTATATAACTTATAAAATCAAACTACAGTATTTAATAAGACAAAATTGCTTGACTGAAGGTAGACTGTTGAGTATATTTTTTAACATGTTTGATATGCTAGGGAGCGGGACACCAAATTGTGAAACTAGAATAATGCCCTTCCTTTCTATATACCCCCCCAAGAATGCTTTTACTTTTCTTTATCTTGATTTAAACATGATACAAACACTAAAAGAAAACTGATCCTTACAGGTGGCCCTGAGTTCTGACCCTGCTGAGTACAGTCTGCCATGGGAGAGTTGCAGTAAAACCTCCAATTACATGAATGTACATTACCTTGGAATTGAACTGGGCAGCCTCTTCATTATAATGTAGGAGAGCTTTCTGTCCTGAGTGGGTGAGGTTCACAAACACCTGAAGACATGGATACTTCCCCTGACCTTGGCAGTCCACGCCACAGGTGAAAGTATAGTCCAGCCAGTCGTCCATGATCTGTGTGTGGATGGTTGTGCAGTTTGATTCTTCTCTCTGTATGCTTCAGTGTGGAAAAATGCATATTCTTCAGCTACTAGGGAATTTAGTTCTGTAGTCCTAATGTGATAGCCAAGGCATTTTGTCTGATGTGGAACCATTAAGAGAAGTCACATAGTGATCAGGGAGTATGGAGGTCATGGGGATGGGGTACACAGCAGTAAATTGCCATGTCCAGTCCCAATTCTGATTCTATTGGCATATTTCTCACTATTCCAACCCTAAGATTCCCTCAGATACTTGGTATTCAAATTTTAGAATCATCTGAAAGAGTTTGTTAGGAAAACTTGTTAAATGTGATCCCAAAGCTTCACTTGCGGAGGAGATTCTGGCTCTGAGTATGAGTCGAGGCCCAAGAATCTATAATTAATTAATTAATTAAAGATGCAGATATTTGGAGAAACACACTAAGTGATGTTACCCTAATTACTGTATCACCAAGATTCACACTAAGAAATCTCATCACCTCATGTTTCTTATGGAGTAAATACAGCCTTCGGGAGTTCTAGTAACAAGGCCCAATTCCATCTACACACTCTACTTCCCAAAAGTCAAATGCAAGCAATTACATTTTTGCTACCGGTAAATTCCTTAAAGTCAAGAGCTATGTCCTGTTCATCTTTATGTTCCTCAAAACATAGGCACGACTTCATAAGTGTTGTACTAAATTAAACCTTACTGAGAAGCCGTTATTTGTATAAGTGGTAGACGAAGTTCTTGGCATGAAAACTTTGTGGTGGTGTTGAGAACAGACCTGTAGATTTGATATAATTACAGCCCAAGTCCAAAGATAAAGTAAATGAAGGTGAGAGGAAATCCTGAGATTGAATTTTTGAGACCAGCTGCTCATGTCCCTCACACTCCCATCTCAGTGGGTCTGTGTTTATTTCCTCTTGCCTTAAACAAGAAGTTTGATTAGCAATCTTTAAAGTCAATGCTTAAAAAACATTAAGTTCATACCCTACTGCCATTAAAATCATTGACCATAATTTTATTTATTAATATAATAAACTTGAGGCCTCTGTGCACTTTAACCTGACTTCAAGGCCTAGGACACAAAATTTGCTGGAGGTGGAGCTCGAGATGTGGTGCTGGGAGCAGGGTTGGAGTGCCATGATGTGAGGGTGTGAGAGGCTTCACACATGGGGGACCTTGGACCACAGGAGCTAAGGTATACGGGTAGCGTCTATCATCTAGAAACAGGGGAAACACACTCTCCCCAGAAGCAGATTTCTCCTCTAGAAAGGAATGCTTCTAGAAAATTCCCTGGGATCCTGATAGTGGCACTGTGTACTGCAGAACATGGTGACCTCTACATTTTTCCCTAACACTGGGAACTGAGGAATGGATGAATCTGAAAAATAACAAAACTAGGCATGATTGGCACATCCCTGTAATCCCAGCACTTGGGAGGCTGAGGCAGGAAGATCATCATGAGTTTTAGGCCAGCCTGGGCTACATAGTTCATAGCCAGCCTGGACTACATGGTGAGACCCTGTCTCAAAAATGAATAAATAAGTAAATGAAAAATAACAAAAAGTAGGCCACTTGCTTCCTTTTTGTGACCCCTTTCCCTGGGAAATTGACATCGCAAAAGGAGAATTTGTGACCTAAATGGATATTTAATTTGTGGATTATGTGTTGAGATGTATGCGATTATGAGATTAGAGGGCAGGGAGTGAAGGAATATCTGCCACTTAGCACTTCATTCTCCATCTCCAGCTGCTTCTCATCATGGCCAGAGGAACAGGCAATTGAATCTCCCTGACCTAGACCGCTGTCAGGAGAGCCAGCACTGGAGAAACCAAAGTGGGCCTTCACCAGCATGCCTCAGTGGGATCGACTGGGGGCTCTGAATCTTGTGTCCCTGTTTCTTACCTGAGCATAAAAGGCTTCAGGATGGTTGTCCCAAGCAAGAAGAACATTAGGACTGAGAAACCCATCATTGCAAACCCCAGCAGCATGGCTCTGTCCTCTCCAGCGCTGGACAGCAACTTCTGGTATATGTCTGGTGGTTCTCCATTGCTGTAGTCTCTGTGTCTCTTCTTCCCAGGGATAGAAAAGGCTGTCCTGGGGCAAGAGAGTGGGAGATGCCACAATGGGCTCATAAAGAAGTGGCAACATAGCTGCGTGTGGTGCTACATGCCTGTAATCCCGTCCTTTTGGGAGGCTGGAGGAAAAAGAGCCAACTTCAAACCCAGCCTAGATAACTTAGCAAGACACTGTATCAAAATAAAAAATGAAAGGCTGGGCATGTAGCTCAATGTGAAAGCCCTGGGTTCATTCCCCAGTACCCACAAAAAAATAAAAGTAGCAACATTCAGCAACATGAGGAATAGAGGAGGAATCTCGTTTGCTGCCATCCTGAAGGTGATGAACAAGTTCAATGCAACACATCAAGATCCCACCTGCAGAACCTGGAGAAAAGTCCATCTAAGATAAAATGATGTGTTCTCAATTATTTTAAAAAGATACTGTAACAAGACTAAGGAATTTTGCCTAGTGGAAGTCTTTAGAAATCTGTTTAATCAAAAACCAGAAGGAAATACCTATAAGTAGCTTTAATTTCTTTTATGTAAGTAAGTATTAAAAACTGATCAAAATACTTTCTACATTGTCCTATGAATTCCATCTGGAAAGAATGAAAAAAGTCCCATTTGGGGTGAGCACATCCTGACCTGGGAAGGTCGGTCTTGTTCTTCCACACCCACTGGCCAGGCCTCGTGTCTACTGTGGGCTTTCTGATGCCATGGCCCAGGCCACCCGCACTGATGGAAACTCCAGTGCTGCCTTCTCTCCCCTCACCCACTCCTCCTCTCTGTCCTCCTGTGCTCTGCGTGGGTGTCCCTGCATTTCCCTCCAAGCTGCTCTGCCTTGAAATCCCTCTCCAGCATAAGTCCTTTCACCATGGGTGTCTAGGGCCACGCACAGGTCAGAGTGCTGGCCCATAGGCAGTGCCCAGCCAGTGGGCGTGTTCTATTTGGCTTGCTAGTGAGATTATTGCTAGAACTTTCCATCATGACATTTCTTTTTAAATGCAGATTTCTAACCTCTCAAAAAAAGTCCCAGATCACATTCCCACAGCTGAACTACCAGGTGAGTCAGGCAGTAAGTGACTGCCCCTATGGGTGGACTGTGTCCTCCAGTTTGCCACAGTCCCACTGTGTCACATGACCAGAGCCACTGACTGGGTGTTCCCCACTCCCCGAAGTATTTCCATTCTTTTCCCTTAAACTCTTTTATTGGTACATTTTAGGTATACAATACATTTACATTTATCATTGGGTGCTTGTACCTGTACATGATATATCTTGGTTCTTATTTTTTCCCCATTACCTGTGTGCCCTTCACCCCCTCCATCCTTCCCTATTTCCATAGATTTTTCATTTCCATATTTCATTTCATAAAAATTTCAGATTTCATTTCCATATTTTTTTCTTTTCTCATAATTTTTCCTTTCCATTCTTTCCTTTCCCCATCTCCTCCCACCACCCCTACCCCTTTGGATTTTTCCCTCCTATTTCAAATTATCAATTATTCATTTTAATCATTTTAATCCTTAATTACATTTTCAGTTTCTCATACTAGAGAAACTATTCGGTATTTACACGTGTGTCCTATTTATTTCACTTAAGTGTATGGCCTCAGTATGCATCCATTTAGGTATAAATGTCTCTAGTTTCTCATTCTTCATGGCTGAGTAGTACTCCATTTTATAAAAAAAAAAACAAACCCACATTTTCTTTATTCAGTCTCCAATTGATGGGCATTTGGGCTGCTTCCAAGTTTTAGCTATTACAAATTGTGCTGCTATGAACATGGGTGCACATATATCTCTGTGGTATGATTCTTTTAATTCTTTGGGGAAGATCCCCAGCAGTGGAATAGCAGAGTCAAATGGGACTTCCAGTCCTAGTTCTTTGAGGTATCTCCATACTGATTTCCACAGTGGTTGCACCAGTCTGCACTCCCACCAGCAATGGAGAAGGGTTTCTTTCTCCCCACCACCCCACCAGCATTTGTTATTGGTTGATTTCTTGATAGTAGCCTTTCTTTCTGGAGTGAGGTGGAATCTCAGTGTTGTTTTCATCTGCATCTCTCGAATGATCAGTGATGTTGAACATTTTTTCATATGTTTATTTGCTGCTTTTACTTCTTTGTCTGAGAAATGTCTGTTCATTTCAGATGCCCATTTTTGAGTTGGGTGTTTGAATTTGGGGGTCTGATTTTTTTCAGTTCTTTATATATTCTAAATAGTGGTCCTTTGTCTAAGGTACAGCTGCTAAAAATTTTTTCCCAAATTGTAGGTTGTCTCTTAGCTCTGTTGGTGGTTTCTCTTGCAGTGCAGAAGCTTTTTAATAAGATGAGATCCCAGTTGTTGATTCTCTGTGCTAGTTCCTGTGCTACTAAGGCTTTGTTCATAAAGTCTTTTCCTATGCCAGTGTCTTCAAGAGTTCTACCTAACTTATCTTCCAGCAAGTTTAGAGTTTCTGCCTTAATATTTAGATCTTTAATCCACTTCGATCTTAGTTTAGTGCATGGTGATAGGTATGGATCTAGTTTTAATCTTTGGCAGGTTGAAATCCAGTTTTTCCAACACCATTTATTGAACAGGCTATCTTTCCTCCAGTGAAGATGTTTGGCTCCTTTGTCAAAGATGAGGTGGCTGAGTGTGTCTGGAGTTGTTTCTGCATCTTCTAATCTGTTCCACTGGTCCTCAGGTCTGTTTCTTTGCCAGTACCATGCTGTTTTTATCACAGTAGCTTTGTAGTATAGTTTCAAGTTGGGGATTGTGATACCTCCAGCCATGTCCCTGTTGCCTAGAATTGCTTTTGAGTATTTCCATTTTTAAGCCTTTATGGCATTGTAAGCCACACAAATGTATCTCTTATGGTCAAAACTCAGTCTCTATCAAGCCACCTAAAAAGCTTACTAAATTTTGAAGCCAAGCAAAAGCTCTATCAAGGGAATTGCTAGTTGTTGCTGTTTTTTCTAAAAGCATGTTTCATACTTTATCCCACAACCTTACCCTTTCCTCTCCTTTCTCTCTGGCAGCATCTTCAGACTCTGAAGGAAATGAGGCTATTATCTGGTGAAGCAGTACGTCCCAGGAGCTGCAGTGTCCATGGGTAACTTTACCTTGGGCACTGAAGTTCTGGTGGGACACATTTTAGTCTCTTTTGATACTTTACTCATCCTCCATCATCTCATCCTCAGAGAATGGTCACAGAAAAAAAAAATTAATAAAATTTGAGCCAGAGTATTTTATGATTTTTCAGGAAATCTGGTATATTGAGTAAGGAGAGTTTTAGCCTAACAGTCAGATTTGTGTATTTTCTGTAGTCCCCAGTACCAAACATCCTCCATTCTCCCTCGTGCTCTGACATTGGGCTTCAGTTGATCTGCATTGTAAGGCATCCTGGAGGTTTATTGTAAGATATCCTTGGAATACATGAGTGAAGAAGCTTTTAATGAGGTCTCTATGACATTTCTAATGCACTCATTAGCTATACCAATTATAATGGTAAGTTACACAAAACTGACACAACCTGTTAGATTCTGATCTAATTTAGGAAGAAGAGAACTTCCAGAACCCTAGACCAGACTTCATGTTTCTAATACTTCTGTTCACTTTGTTTTAAGGCCTGATGAAAAATTAATGGGGTGGTGCACACCTGTAATCCCAGAAGTTGGAAGACTGAGGCAGGAGGATTACAAGTTTGAGGCTAGCCTGAGCTATACTGTGAGTTCAAGCCCAATCCTAGGATACATAACAAGACCCTGTCTTTAAAAACAAGGAGGAAAATGGGCCAGGAATTTAGCTCAGTGGTGCAGCCACCTGCTTCATAAGTGCAAGGTCCCGAATTTGATCTCTGGTACCAAAAAAAAAAAAAAAAAGACAAGGAAGAAGCAGTTTCGTGTTTTGGAGAAGGAAAATAATCATTAAAAATTAACTCTCCCATAAATTTTTATTATGGTAAAAGTAATAGGATTCTTTTTCAGCAGTATGGTGGATTAGATACCCACTCTAACTGCAAACAACTAAAAATTCTGACACATAAGGGTTTGGAAAACTCAAAGGACAAAAGGTATGTGAAAATGGCAACTCAAACAGGAAACTGGATAGAACCAAAGTTTTACCTTATAGGCATTTGCTAAGCTTCACTCTCAAGTTTGTGTGGTCACAGGGACAAAAGATCACGCCCAGAGCCCATCCAAGGAATGGAATTTAATAGAGTGGACCTTCAAATTATGACTGGCCTGACATGCAAACAACTTGGGTTAATTGGGTTAATGGAGGACTCATCTGCCTTTTGTTATCTATAGCGTGTACCCAGGGAAACATCCAGATCTCAGCTGTATTGACTTACAACCAACTTGAGTTACAACCAACCCTCAGGAACCAATCAAATTCATAAGTCAAGGGTCTACTGTACATCATTCAATTGGAGCTGGGACCCCAAAGTATCTAAGTCTTCATGACAAATTGATGTTGAAATAACACAGTAACACACACACCCCTCTATAGGAGACTGCAAGGAAAATGTTTTTCTCAAACCTTAATGAGAGAGGAGTAAAATTATAATCTCCCCTCTAATTTGAAGACCCAGTAAAAGATGATCCTCAGGAGATTTGCAGTCTGAATTTACTCTACCTGGGTAATCCAAACTCCTCAAACTAGGGCAGGGATTTAGCTCAGTGATTCCACTGCCTGCCTCACAAGCACAAAGTCCCAAGCAATACGATAAAGAGAAAATCAAATTTTAGAACTGATGAAGGACCCATCCAGAGATTCCAGAAGCCCTGTGGCATAAAGTGAAAAATCTATACCTAGGCATATCCAAATATATTTAATAGCCATAAAGACAAAAAAAGAGGTCTTAGAAGCCAGAGAAAAAGACTGACTTCAGAGGACTGACAAACTGAACACTCACTTCTCTACGACAAAATGGAAGCAAGGGCATTGTCATTGTGCTGAGAGAAAGTAACCACAGAATTCTGTATCTCACAAAATGCCTTCAAGTCTAAGTATGAAATAAAGACATCTCAGACACACACACAGCCAAGTTTGTCCTGAATAGACCTTAAAGGAAAAGGTCAAATATTTTCTCTAGGCAGAAAGAAAATAATCCAGGTGACAGAACTGAAACTTAATCAGAAATGAAGTCCAAATACAGGAGTAAATAGGTAAGGGTATTGCCGCTATGAAATACAATAGTAATTATTCTTATTACACTATGATGTTTGGGGGGTTAAAAGAAAAGATAAATGCGTGACAGAAGCACACATTGGTGGGACAACAGTGCTAATGTGTTCTAAATGCTTGGTAATTTTAGGGAGTGAGAGATAAAGATACTGTTTTCACTTTCATGCTGAATTTGTGGAGTAGCTTTTAAAGGAATAGAAATAGGTGGTGTAACTTCCAACCTCAGAAAAATAATCAAAGGGAGGGCGGAAATCCATACAAAAGAAAGAAGAAAAAAAACCCATTAAAAAACCAGGATAAATATCACAAATTAACTTGCTAGACATTACTCTATCAGTATATTAGAAATTACCATAAATTAAATAATTTGAATGATCCAATTAAAACATAAAGATTGTA